GCGGCAGGAGAGGTCTGCGCGCCATGCGGGACCCTCCTCCGGTGGCCGGGGAGCAGCCGGGGATTGAACCGGCACCGCAGAGGCCGCGGGCAGCTTCGCAACCCAGCGCTCAACCTCTGTGCCACCGGGGAGGCCCTATTGCAATTAGTCTTTAGATGACTGGATCAAGAAGATGTGGTCCATATACACCATGGAATATTACTCAGCATTCAAAAAAGATAAACACATACAATTTGCAGCAACATGGATGGCGCTGGAAGGGATCATGCTCAGCGAAATAAGCCAGAAAGAAAAAGAAAAATACCGGATGGTCTCACTCATAGCAGGAATTTAGAAAACTTAAATAAGGGACCAGGAAAAAGACTAATCACACTTTACTTTTTATAATGAAAGTCTTTAGGAAAAACTTTCTGAGGCTGACTGGGCCCCCCAGGGATTGTTCTTCCCAGGGAGCAGGGAAGCAGCACCAGCTTGGCCATCAGCAAACTTGATGGTGGAGCCCAAAGCTGATTTGAGGACACAGACAACCTATTTGAACAGTGAGCCTGGCTTGGTCATCCATTCTGGAGAAATCTCTGGTTAAGGTGAGGTGAGACGTGTCCGCGCTTGAGGAAGGGAGGAAGAAGGGCTTTGTTTGTTGGCTTCTATTGCTTCCCATTTTAAAAGCAGAAAAATCACTTCACAAAAAAAAAAAAAAAATTGGAATTCAGGGTAAAGAAGAAAAGATAACCCCCACCTCTACCTTCATCCGCCAATCTCACAACCAAAATTAAGATGCCGCTGTGTTCTAATTGTTCAGTGCAGTCTATTTTTCATTGTGGACATATAAAAATACAGTGAAGTCGACCCTCACTGGTTCTCAGGGGATCCCATTGTGGCGACATCTGCAGTCATTTGCAGTTGTCCCACAGAATTTCAAATTAGCTGGAAACACATTTGAAGTCATCTTTCAGCAACTCAGCTATGGCTGTGGGCCCCCTCACTTTTTGGTGGTGCAACTTGGAGTGTTTCCTACCATCTCCGTGCATCAGGTTTTTCCTTACAAAATGAAGATAGTGGTGATCGTTAGCTGAGTGCATTGCCGTCTTTTTAACACACATAGCAGAATACCTAGAACATAGTGAGTGCTAAGAAAAAATACTGACTGTTAATAATTAGAGATCGCATCCCCAGCATTGTTGGTCTGTTTCCCACATAATGTTCAGAGCACAGAGCCTCTGTGCCAAAGGGAAGAAAGAAGATTCTAATCACATTATGATCTGTAGTTGTCACGACCGGCTCTTCAATGAAAATGGAGTTCACGTATTACATTCTCAGCCTTTATGTTTGGTCAAGATACCACGTCAGTTGAAGGTGCCCTTGTGAGCCTACGCAGCACTACCGGGACTTTCTATCTCTTTCAATCAGGTCAACACATGTTAATTAAGCCCTTTACTGTTTTTGCACATGATTTATTGGATCTCTTTTCATTAATGTGTTTGATCAAAAAGAAAAGTAATTAAATGGAGAACAGTGGCGGGAACACATACTCTGCATCAATTATTAAAAAGAAAAGTTCTTAGGATGAGCGCCCGATCGTTCGTCCATAAGCCATCTGGGAGGCTCAGCTGATGGCAAACCATCTGAACTATTACTACCTCTAATTATTAGATTCACCATTATTTTTTAAAGAGTGCTAAAAGGGAATTTTTTATATATTTACAATCAAAATATCAGCAGCTAGCAAAGGAAGACTAGAATTGCACAATCTTTTTATCCCTTAATCCTAGAAAGTCAATAAAACTCTCCAGTCAAAAAGCTGTGATTTGTTCCTTAAATATCAGTAATGTGACTTTGTAATATAGGCTTCTCAGAAAATAATGACTGGGCAATCTTAAGGGGAAAATGCATTTTTTTAATATTTTATATATTTTTACATCATTTTTCATTTTTGCACAATGTATGCTTTTTCATCATGGTTATAGTCCCCATACAATTCCACCCCCCTTATTTTGACCGTAATCCCTCCTACTGCCCACCCCCCCAGCCCCCGTAGTGCGTCTCTGGCTTATAGTTGCTTGTTGATTTTGATTTTACTTTACTAAAATGCATTTTAAGAAAAAAAATCCTCCTTATTTCTTCCTTGAATTTGTTTTGCTAGTGAAAAGATTCCTAACAAGTTGGAAGGCAACTCCAGAGGTCATTGGTGTAGTCCTTATTTTTCTAGGCAGAGCTATAAACAAAACCTCCTAAAATTTGTTCTAGCCTTTTCAATACAGTTCCCCAATGTGGAGACTATTATTGAGGCATTAGGGCTAATCCTGCTTTTCTGATGAATCTGTAAAGGAAGGTCACCGTCTCCTATGCTCACAGATATTTAAAACGCTATGTTCTCAATATCTTAAAGCCAGTGAGTTTTAATTCTTGGAGTCCATTTAAAAGTTATAAATTATTTTGCAATAATTTGCATAAATTATTTTGCAAGTGAATTAGATGCTACTTTCAGTGAATAATCTGATATAACGAATTCAGCCTTAGAATATTATAAGAATAAGAACGTATCTGACTGCAACGGTGAAGCTAATTTTCTACTTTGCAGTGTATTACTGTGTTTAATTTTGAGGCTATTGTTCAATGTTGATATTCCACTTTGTATCAGAGACCTTTTGTACATGAAGGTACTTATTTTTAAAAAATGGACCAAAATATGTCCATCTGATTTAGTAATAGCTAATTTTGCAAAAAAAGATAAATACAATGTGGTTGTAATCTAAAAAATAAACACAGATCAAATGTGAAAGCAGCATGGCCATATGCACACCAGAAGATGAGAACTGCTCAATGAGTGTTAAAAATCTTTGACTTAAGGATGAAAACAGTAAAGTTATTTAAGAAATGCTCTCAGTGCTAGAAGAATCTCTGAAAACGTTAATGGTTGTGACTAATAGTACTTGTAATTTTTTTGTCCTCTATTCAAATCAGATTCTACAATAAAAGTACATTGACGTTGAAATGAGATCAAGAGGTAATTTCTAAAAGCAGATTTTTTTAAATTGAAACAGCAACAAGTGAAAAATAGCATTAGTCTTGCTTTTTAAAGTTTTTTAAAGATTTATTTACACATACAACAGATGGGGTACAGGCCAGAGGTGTGAGGGGGTGAGAGGATTCGGCAGTGACAGAGTGGGGAGCAGAATAGGCGGATTGACTGAAATACACTGCTGAGGGGAGCAGCGGGCGAGACAGGAGAGGTCTGCTGCGCCATGTGGGTTAGCTCCCTGGCGGGCTGGGGGATCAAACTCATGCTGCAGAGGCTGCAGACAGCTTCTTAGGTTGCGTCTGAATCCCTTGTGCCACCAGGGAGGCCCCTTAAAGTTTTTTTTATGTAAGTAGATTTCTGGAGATTCCTGAGTGCACGTTGGGAATAGGATGATGTTGTGCTCAAGTGGAAGTAGCCTTCAAAAGCATTGATACTTTCCAGAGTCATTTTCCTGGAACATTAATCTTGTGAGATAGTCCTTGTAAAAAGAGTTCACAATCATATATGTTTGGGGAATGCTGTTTTCCATGTTTCGAATCCTCCATATTGAGAGTCCACCATATTCAAATTCTCCATATTGAGAGAAAGGACTGAAGAAACTTGCCTCTGATGAAACCCATTCAAGTGTATTTAGCCCAATATCCGCCTGCCTCATTGGAGCACAGGAGGCATTTTCCTGCACAACTCCAGTTATCATCCTGTCACACTGGAAAATGCTAATTAATCTAGATGAATCTTCTCAACAAGGAAACTTATTCAGAAAACTGTTGTCCAAGATCCAACAGCTAGTTCACAGTGGCATTGGCACTGGAACTGTCTGACTCCCTGCCCAGTGCTCAATTTTAGTATACCCAAGTGTTCAGTGCCTCCACTGAAGTATAAAGTGCCAGTTTTTCCTTCCACATCCATCCAAAAACCCTTTCTTCACCTCAGTGAAAAAGAGTAGGGAAGATTCCTTCTGACATTTCCTTCTAAAAGTCAAGCCAACCTAACGCGTTGACACACCCTCATGCTGTAGAACACGTGGAGGGTTATAACCAGACTGGGATGGTTCATCCACTGACCCAGTTAAGAAGGAAAATTCTGCCTCACCAATTGCTGTTCCTATTCCTGCTCATTTGAAATGCCCCTTTTCCTGTCCTTCCCCCAGTAACCTTCAAGTAAAGGACTTTTGTCTTTAAACACGAATGCCTCTTGAAGGCCATTTGTGTCATACTTCAGGAGTTTTTTCTCATTTCCTGAGAAAACATGACAGAGAAAAAAAATCTCTCCATCTGGGAACTAACAAGGATTACATGCCCAGAGCCCTTCCTGCTTCTCTCCACTAGGCCTGTTTTCCTGCTGTACACAGCTCACCCGGGTAGGCCTGCAGGCCCATTGCATCACCACACTCTCATTTGGAGTGTTTTGCCCAATGGTAGTAAATTATTCGTTGCTCACTTATTGTCTGAAAGTCCAGGTCCTCCATATGTCCTTAATTGTCTTGTTTCTTTCTCCTTTATTGTCCTTCCTTTTTAATACGCTGAGACTTAGCGTTCCTGGGGTGACATGGCTCAGCTCCTCACCCTGGGTTCTGTGGACTAGCACTTTGGGGGTTGTGTAGAAATGCAGACTCTGAGGCCCCATGCCAGCCTCCTGAGTCAGACTCTGCATTTTAACATGACCTCCGGGGCATTGTATGCAGCTCAAGTTTGGGAAAGTACTGGTTTAGGGTGTGTGGCAAAGCAAGGATCTCGTCCATGAGGCAGAAGCTGCAAAGAGTTATATTTACTTACCAACTGCTTCTGAATCAAGCATTTTTTTTCTGGTTCTGAACTAGACCTGAAAGCTAATATGTTAGGTATGTGAGCTTTTAATTTTGTGAAATAGAAACAAGGCTGGAGATTTTCTGAAACATTTGAAAGGGCACATCAAAACTTAGTCAATTCTACTCTGATATAAAGTAAGCTAAGGACAGCCTTCTTCCTCTCTAGGACTGACGGCTGAAGCCGGGCCGCACAGGTCAGCACCGACCCGAGCTCTTGCGGGCGAAGATGAAAAGAAACACGACTCTCATTTCTGCACAGGGAGGCTTCCTGGGTGAGACAGTAGCTCTCTGACTGTATTCCGTCCTGGCTTTATTCTCTCTGGACATTTCCACTCGGTGATGTCCCTGCATCTTTCTTCTTGGGACTCATGAGACAAAGGGAATTGAGTCTTTAATGTTTGGGTTTAAACAAAACAAAACAGAAGAGGTGTGACTTTCGAGTGGTGGTGTGTGTGACCATGTGCTCATCTTGTTTGATAAGGTCTTGATTGATTTTCCATGCATTTTGAAGTGATGTATCTTAACAGTGGCTTTCTCTCAGGAGCTTTATGCGAACACCTCATTACACCATGGAAAAAATCCCAGTGAGGTAAAAGGGATCGATATTTATTATGCTCCATCTTAGAGTAGATGGAGACAGTGCGTGGGGGGAGCTAAACATAGGAGTGGAATATCAGGCTACTCGCTCTTAGCTGAAGACCCCAGTAGTGGTGTCCCCATTTTCAGAAACATCTCAGTTTCATTAGCTTTGAAAATATACATGCTTGGAAGATTTTTCAAAGAAAATGAAAATTAGTAAATCTGACCCAGGTGGAGTTTTTAAACAAGGTAAATAGGCCAAAAAGAAGGGAAAATGTTTTCACTGTAAAATTCTCCCTTCCACAAGACCAGGTGGTTCTGTGAAGCAGGCGCCAAGGAAAAGGTAATATGCACTCTGTTTAAACTATTCCAAAGCTAAGGACAAGCTAAAAGCCAAATTTATTGCTAAGAGACTAAGCTGACCCTGACACCCTCGTCAGAGAAGGACAGGCTACTTCTCAAAAGAAAGCGACCAGTCTCCTTTAGGGATATACTGCAAACATGAGAATATTAAAGTAGATTTTAAAAGAATTCTACACCTCCCCTAAGAAATACAAGGGTAATTCAGCATCAGGAAACAATATTCACAGTTAAAGAGGAAAACCACTTGCTCACATTAATAAAATACACGTGCTAAAATTAAACAGAAAACTTGCAGTAAAAATTATTAGTAGACAATGAATAGAAAAGTGTGCCTTTAACTTGAGCGAGCATATTCATCTAGGACCAAGAGCAAGCTCCTTAAAATAGTGAAATAGACATTTCCATTACCACAGGATGGAGGCGCTGACCCCTGCCATCAAGCAATTTTCCAGCATCTTCCTGGGCAAGAAGAAACTCTCGTTCTGCTCTCAAGATCATTGTGGAAAACAAACATCACTTCAGTCAAACAGGTAGGTTATTGAGCCTTAATTAGCCCAATTGTATCCTCACAACTTTTTACCAGATAATTTCGTAAACTACCATGTTGTTCACTTAGAGAGATTGTCTTTCACCTTTTACACGCACAAGATGTCATTATCCTTGTGATTTTCCCATGTCTCTCTGAAACCACATTGACCCTCTGGTTCTATCTTGTCCTGACATGTAGACTATGATTGTCTTCTATTGATATGTGTCAAATAAATCCTACAGAAGAGAGTAAAAGCTCTCACCTCGCCCTTCCTGTTGCTGCTGACCTTCCAGAGTTGCAGAAATAGCAGTAGCCCTCATTTTACAAAGCAGGTTTTCTATCTTTGATCCACCTCTCTGAACTCTCTCAACTCTGGAGGTACAATAGTGGCTCTGCTTTAGAAGCAAACCTGCTGGCATCACTGCAACAGGGAATGGCTGGCAAATCCCTGTGCGTTCTGAACAGTAGAAATAAAAATATATTTTAGCAGTGACAGATTAACAGAAGAGCAAGCATGTTCTGCTTGACATTTCTGTGGGTGATGTCTATGGGGTTCTCATTAGAAACCTAGTAATTAGGAATGTTGCCTAAGTAAAACTGGGACTGAAAGAGCTATTTTGAAAACGTCAGTTTTCTTTAAAATGTCACTTTTATATTTACAGCTTCCGATAAGCTTGTTTCATATTATTCTCTTGCTCAATGAATCATAGTATCATGGAGATGAGTTACAGTCTAATAAAAGATGGCCTTATTTCAAGTGTGGCATTTGTATTGACGGCAGCTGCCTGTTTTCTTAGCGTAGTGAAGCTTGTGGAGGCAGGAAAGGCAGCGGCATCTGTGAGCAGAAATACTTAGGTGGATGGGGATCACTGTGATTTTCACATCTAGTGACATTGGAAAATTATCAATTGTTTTACCCTGAGGTTTTACACCTAATTTGAGGAAAGAAGACAAAAATCACAATGGACTTGAGCACAGAGAATTTAAAATCTGCTGAATGATTGTGCAAGCCAAGTTGTTAATGTTCTCAAAGTGTGTAGATCTGAATTTGTTTTTTATTATAGTTTTTAGATCATTGTAGTTGTTCACATGCAGTTGTAAGAAATAATACAGAGTAGCCTATGTACATTTTACTCAGTTTCACTCAATAATACTATCCAGTGAAACCATAACATTACAACCAGGCTACTGTTATTGATACAACCCACTGAACTTGTTCAGATTTCCCCAGTTTTTTTTTTTTTTTGTGTGTGTGTGTGTGTGTGTGTGTGTGTGAAGGAGCGAGCATGTGGGTGTAGCTCTTTGCAACTCTATTGCGTGGATAGAATGGTATATCCACCAGGACAAGGAAGATCCCGAATAGTCGCATCACCATGAGAATCCCTTGTGTTGCTGTTTTGCAAACACACCCACTCCCATCCTCCCATGGCCTAAGGCCCTGGCCACCCTTACACTGTTGTCCATTACTATGATTTTCTCATGGTAAGAATATTATAGAAATGGAATAAATATTACATGAACCATAGAATGTGTAACCTTTCAGGCTCAGAGTAATTCTCGGGCGATTCATCCAGGTCATGGCATGTATCACGTGTCTGTTTCCTTGATGCTGAGTACTGAGTAGTGCATGACCGATGTAGTAATAGTGGTTTTTCCATTTGTCTGCTGAAGGGCATCGTGTTGTTTCCAGTTGGGATTATTATGTGTAAAGTTGTTTTGAATATTTGTGCACAGGTTTTTGTGAGAACATAAATTTCCATTTCTCTTGATTAAATGCCCAAAGTATAATTGCTGGGTTGTGTGGTGATTGCAGGTTTAGTTTTATAAGTGGCTGGGCCACTCTGCATTCCCATGAGCAGCGCCTGAGTGATTCTATTCAGTGTCTGCACCCTTGCCAGATGTGGTGTGTCACTGCATTTAATTTCAGCCAATCTGATGGGTCTTGAATGTGCTTTTAATCCAGAGTGTCTCAGCCTCAGCTTTACGAACATTTCGGACTGGATAATTCTTGCTGGTGGGAAGAGGCTGCCCTATATGTGACATGTAGTCACATCCCTGGCCTCTGTCTACTAGATGCCAGTATCAACCCGCCCCCCCCCCACACACACACACACTCTGACAACCAACAAACGTGTTCAGATATTGTGAAATGTCCCCTGGGGGACAAACTTGAGAATCACCGTAGCCCATCAAGACTGTGTAAATTTAAGTGAAACAAGATCAGTAATGCACATTTCATTCCTATCTTTTTTTTTTTTGAAATGAAAAACTCCTTAATCACTTACCCTCCTCTACTTTTTCAGCCAAAACTGTCAACTCAACACTCAGAACCATAAGATTATAAACCTGTCATGATGACTTACTAGACTAAGACCAAAGTGAAATTGCTTTCATATGATCTTAACTGTTAAGGTTTGCCTAGGCTATTAACTCTCAGATTGTCTCTATTAGCAAGGAACGTGCCTGCTCCAACTTGTTTATAGGACGCTAAGCCCAAAAAGGCACAAATCAGAATATTTATGAGAAAAGAGGGAAAAAGCTGGACAGTGGGTTTTCTTAAAGCAGGCTAAGGCATTAAAGAAAGAATCTAGGTTAAGACAGATAATGCCAAAAACTGGGAAAAGCTATCATTCTAGTGGCTATACCTGCAGAGTTTTACCTCTAAGTACACAAATCTGCACATCATTTAAAGTATAACGTCAAAACACTAATTCTCCCACTTCTCAGTCTATTAAAATGCTTCTCATCCCCCAAAGCTTGGATCAAGTGCTATCTGTTCTGTAACACTTTTTCCAATCCTCCCAGCTGGAACAAAATAATCCTTCCCCTGGATTCTGCCAACATTTATCTCTGCCTTGATCATTGCAATGATGATTCATATCATTCTGACCATGCTTGGATTATGTGTGTATCTGTCTCCATAGTGAGATGGCTAGCTTCTTCAGTTTTATTTACTAGTGACATAAAGACCAGGGCAAGAGTGTCTGTACAGGGGAACAGTAGAATACACAGAAGACAGAAGGGACAAAGATGAAGAAGCAACAGGCAACTGAAAGACAATGGAAGAAACTGGGGCTCCCAAGTCAGAATTTTAGGGGTCTTTGGGAGTAAGTATGCCTTGGAATTTTGGAGCCAAATAATCCTAGGTTTAGGGGGAGACCTGTTAACTCTCAAATAAGACCAGGGATCTTGTGGGTCAATGACTCTCAAACAGAATCACCTAGAAAGCTGCTTAAACCACAGATGGCTGGGCCCCACACCCCTAAGGATTTTGATTTGGTATCCCAGGTAGGGCCTTAGAATATACATTTTTAACAACATCTTCATGCATCTTTAGAAACTTAGTAGTTAGGGGGCCTCCCCTGTGGTGTAGCGGTTGAGTGCTGGGTTGCGAAGCTGCCCGCAGCCTCTGCAGCGCCAGCTCAATCCCTGGCCGCCGGGCGAGGGTCCCACATGGCGCGCAGACCTCTCCTGCCACCTGCTGCTCCCCTCAGCAGTGTATTTTGTCGGTCTGCCTGTTCTGTTCCCTGCTCTGGCTCTGGTGAATTCTTTCACCCTCCCGTGCTTCTGACTGTACCCAGTGCTTGTATAAGTAAATAAATAAATCTTAAAAAAAAAAAAAAAAAACAACAACCTAGTAGTTAGGAAAGCAGGTGATGCAGGCATTGGTGACCCAGCCCCACACCTGGAGAACTGCCTTTCCACCTGACCCTTTGACAGCATGTACTCATCCTCAGGGTTCCAGCCCAGATCCTGTGGAGGTGAGTCCAGCAGCACTGCAATGGAAAGCTGTTGCACTACCAAGCTGGACAGCACCTCCTCTTTGCTGAGGCAAGTCTAGAATCTTCCTAAGAACATGGGTTCTGTATCTGTTTTAATGACCTTACCTAGGGAAGCATTTAATGAAACATTTGTGTTCATCTTTGTATCTCTGAAATGCTTTGCATGAGTAGGTATAGGACACTCAGTAAAAGCTTATTTAAAAACGTAGGTGAGGGCCTCCCTTGGTGGTGCAGGTGGTTGAGCACAGCGCTGTGAAGCTGTCCACAGCCTCAGCGGTGACGGTTCTATCCTGGCCGGCCAGTGAGGGTCCCCATGGTGCGGCAGACCTCTCCTGTTGTGCCTGCTGCTCCCCTCAGCAGTGTATTTAGTCAGTCTGCCTGTTCTGTTCCCCTCTCTGTCTCTGGTGAATCCTCTCACTCTCCCACACATCTGGACTGTACCCTGGTTCTTGTATAAATAAATTAATAAATCTTTAAAAAAATAAAAACAGGTGAATGAACTGAATATCATTGCAGTCCTTGCATAGAGCTATTACCTAGTAAAAGTTTATTGGTCTCACTGCTGCTGATGATAAAAATGCTAAAATATCCTTCTCCTATTACCTATGGAGGACAAAGGATGAGGAAATGGTTAGTGGAATTAATAGTCAATTTTGTGAAGATTAAAAATCTGTAAAGCTTATCTAAGATACAGATACTGTCCACAAGCTGTTTAGCAAGTAGAGTCTTCATGGAGATGGATAGCTAGCTAGGTAGATGATAGATAGATAGATAGATAGATAGATAGATAGATAGATAGATAGATAGACAGATAGATAGAAACGGATAGATGGATGGATGGATAAAAGGGCAGACAGAGAGATATTTCCACTCCCCCTCGTAGGTTGGTGGCAGGCAAATGTCTACGAGGGTCCCGAGATCCTTGTATTCATATTCATGTATAACCTATTCCCTTTGAGTATCACCTGGACCACTATGGAAATTTGCCCTAAAAACTAAATACAGCAAAAATGATGGATATTATTTCCTTGAAAGGGAGTAACAAAACTCCCAAATCACTGCTACTTCTTTCATGGGTCTCTCTCTCTCTCTCTCTCTCTCTCTCTCTCTCTCTCTCTCTCTCTCTCTCTCTCTCTCTCTCTCTCTCGCCTCTTTGTGTCCTTGCTTTCAAGAAGCCAGATGTGATGCTGGCAGATGCTCTACGGAGAGCCCACATGGC